CACAAGGCATATCAAGAGCTTTGGGGAAGCAATTCCAGGGACAAATTGCTATTGTAATGTTGCTTAAAATTGTCCAGTAATGTTGATATGATCTCTTCATTATTCTGAACTTAGGCTCTGCTCCTTACCAACTAAAATTAGTGGGATTCTTTCCAGTGGTTTTGCTGTGCGATATTTTGGGTTTTAAATAAGAGGAGAAAACACGAATAGATGACATTCAATATATATTTTTTGTTTTTCTGAACCAGAGATACTAATGCTCACAAATACAGTCTCCCAAGGGGAGAACAGAGGTTATATACATAAAAAATGTGCATTTGGCACAATAATGTACCTTGAAGCTTCTCAGTCTTTGGATTCTGCTGCCCTATAGGTAGAGAAGAGCACAGGATAGGTCCGTGGTGAACTCTTAGTATTAACTTTCACATTCTGCTTCCTTAAGAGAAAGGATACAATAATCAGTTCTGTTTCACCTGGAGCCCATGGTAACATTGGCCCCTAGCCAACAAAGATCTAAGAATATGCCTTCCTGCTAATTTGGCTCAGTGATAAGACCCCTGCCAGCAGTAGGGAAACTGTATGTGGTGACCCTTGATTCCTTGGCAAACAGGCACAGAATATGAACAGCAAGTGGGAAATTCCTATTGACCTGGTTATAGCGTTTTTCAGAGTCTCACACCTGTTTCTTTTTCAAATCCTGTCTTCCTTTGTGTTGGATTTTTGTGTGTTTGTGTGTGCAAAAGATCAAAGCAAGGAGTAGCAGGAATTTGCCCTTAGAAGTGGTTCTTGTTACATCAAGATTCAGTCCAGCAGACTAAAAATCAGCATTTAGTTAAGAAAGAGAGAAGGAAAGAAGAAAAAGAAGTAAACCATCATCAGAAATACAATCTCTGCTGTTTCATGGATTTTTTTTTTATAGGGCCTATTACATGAACATCATTGAAGGACACATAAGTACCTGTTACTATCTCAGAGTTAAGCAACAGGGAAGTGTAATTAAACATGCTATTCTAGTGGGCTTGAAACCTATTTGCAATCAAGCAAACCATTGGGCTTTTCAGCAGGTTTGGCAATCTCCCTTCAGAAGAGGCCCAGCGCTGGGACAGGAGCCACATTTTGCTACCCTGACTGAGATGCATTGATGGGAACGAGTGGGAGTTTGCAGAGAGTCCAGCTGCACCAAGCCTTGCTCTGGCCAGGATTAATCTTTCACTTTTATGAGCACTGAATTTCACCAACATTTATCCCCAAATTAAAGAAAACTAACAAAATCATGTTACTAAAGCAAATGAACTTTGTTGGTTTGTTTTCTGTGTAAAACAAAGCAAAGTCTTATTTAATCTTTGTTGCCTTGGATAAGGGGAATGTGGTATGACAGACCTTTCACAGCCTCCTGGTTGTACCTGAATTAATTTGTCAAGAGGAAAATGGAAATGATTCCACATCAGTTTGTGGTTTCTTTTCATCCTCCAGATAACTGGGGCAGAACAGTCCAAATGTGATGAATCTTCACTGCAATGCTGGCATTAGAAGGTGTCACACAGAGGAGTATAGGGCAGAAGCTCCTCTGCTAATGCTAAGCCAGGGAGCTGGGAGCCACCACTGATGAGATACAGTCCAACCATGCTGTTCCTGCACTCCCACCAGAATTAATTAGTCCAGCTGGGAGGGAGGACAGATCTGCCTGGGCAGACTGCAAAGACAGAGCAGCTACAGTGCTTGGTACCTCACCGAATGAGTTTGGAGCAACACAGACTTGACGTCAGAAAGTTGTGCTGACTTAAGGGTAAGGCAGATAACACTGCTTGTGAGATCAGTTTTCTCAAAGACACGTGCACAATGCACAAAAAGAAAAATCCAAACCAAAACAAAACAAATATTTTTCCTCCTATGCTTCTCCTTTTAGGTATAGTTTCAAGAGAAGCAAGAGTCTGACTGCTAAAAAAGCCACTCTCTATGAGGTCAGCAAAACAGGTTAAACTGTAGCAAAACAGTACCCTTTCCCATCTGATACTTCCAAAGCTGCAGCAGTTTGGCAGAGTGTGAGCAGAATGGGAGTAAGGACTTTCAAAGCTATCTATTAAATTTGCATGTCCATTTCAATTTTGTTAATGGAGTCAAAATCCAAGGTTGATGATCAAAACCAGAAATCTCTGGAGAAATGCAAGGTATGATTAAGATTTAAATAGCTGAGAAAGTAGAAGATGATGTCTTCTGTTATGCCCTTATCCATTCTGGAAGTAAGTGAAAATAATCCAGAAGAAGGAGGACTGATTAAACTTCAGAGCAGCTTTTGCAGGCATTTCTGTTTCTCTGCATCCTTTCTGTTTTTGAATGCTGAACTCTAAATTTGTCTGAGTCTAAATTAGAGACTAAAGCTCAAAAAGAAGCTTAGGAAAAAATTGAGAAGAAATTACAAGGAGGTGTTTGGTGGCTTTGTGGGCAGAATGTCACTGAGAAAAATCTTAGTGTTCTCTTCAAAAGCAGCAAACCTGGATTTCCTTTCTGATACAAAGATGGTTCTTCTACTTTCAAATTAGCAGTCTTTATTAGTGTAGACTTTGTCACCTTTGTCATGAAAGAAAATCACACACTGCTCTAGCTGTCTGAATTGTTTTTTTCTCATGATGTTCAGGAGCATCCATCAGACCTTAATAATTGCAGTTCCACATGACAAAAAAAAAAAAAAAAAAAAAATCAAACATTTTTAAGAGAAGCAACACTAATGGGGAGAAATGTTAACAGGAGTACTGATTCATGTAATTAATGAAGGCAGGCAGGAACTGTGGAGAGTGAAAGAGCTGTTGGAACATGCTTTTCCTGAGAGAACACCTAAATTAAGAGGCTGTCGAGACATATGTTTCATAGTGTTGGCAACCCAGGTGTAACAAATTTCCAAGATGGCTATTAGTGAGTACTTACAGCTAAAAAAGCATTTCTAATTTCTTGCTGAATATGGAGACTTAAGTGTCAAGGGAAACATGGAACTGTGAGCAGAAGTGAAGGTCACAGGGGATACATGTGCAAAATGATGCCCTTTAGCAGGGAAATTGTTGATGACTTCCACACGTGATGGTCTTCAAATTAACTGTTGATTAATGAAAAAGAACCTCAAATGGAGGGAGTGGAAAGATCAACTCCAACTTTCTTAGCGCAGAAATTTTCACTTTCAATGTCGTGCTTTTGTCTTGGACGAAGGATCTTTCATCTGGTTTGACATGGTGATTCCTGTCTTTTTGTATTTGCTTTTCTTTCAGTGTATTTTAGAATAACATTAGTTGCATTGGGGAAAACAAAACAAATGAAAAAAGGCCCACCAATTATTTTTATTTTCTGAGTGCTACACTGTTTTTCATTTATAGATCAGTTTCTTATGATGAGACAATGGGATTCTCTTTCCTGAATGTGATTCATGGATGCCTGAAAGCATTATTTGTTTTTCCCTGGGGCTGTTTTGCAGAACAGAGGCAGGAGCCAAGCATGACTTTCAAGACATTTTATCACCTGTATTACTCTGTTCCTTTAAAGTAGCGGCCAATAATCTGCAACGGTAAAGCATTTAGGCACGTGATATAAAGCAGAGTAGATCTTTGTGCAATTTTGATATATTTGAAGTATCTCGTTACTATGTTAGTTTGTTTCACATCTTTCTTTTCTTTTTTCTTTTTTTCTTTTTTCTTCTTTTTCTTTTCCTTTTTCTTTTTTTTCATGTGGAAAGCCTCATTGAATTTTAAATGAGGGGTAAAGAGAACAGGTGCAGCTTTTGGTGTTAAACAAAACATTTTCTATCCTGCATCTCAAATCAGGATTCATAAGCCTGGATTAATGGGATTTATGTAACTCAAGGAGAATAGGGACTGCTAGGCAAAAACTTTCTTCTTTACATTTTACAAAAACTGGTGATACATGTGCTGTATATTTAATTAAAAAATGCATCTGTCAGGAGCACTTTCTACACTTTTGCTTGTTGTGTGCATTGTGTCTATTTTATTTCTATTTCTATCACAGAACATTACTGTCCAGGTTGTGATGTTATATGTGAAGAGTTTTTGCAATGCTTAGCAAAGTTCTGAATCCCTAAGAACTGGATTCTGGAGTGGTCAGGTGGCATTTCTGCAAAAGCTTTCCAACATCCCTTTCAATGTTTATTGCCTCCTTTGAGGCAATTAGAAGTCTAACGCAACAGCTGTTTCTGATCATATGAGCGATATGATTTATAAGCCATGAGTGTCAGAAACAGAAACATTCTGAATTCTTTGCAGTGTTCAACAGATTTTGAACTGCCACAGTAAAACAGAGGTCCCAGGTAAAGGAGATTGTTTATGCATTTAATAAGAATTGGTGCAACTCAAGAGACCGTGCTTCATTCACATCAAAAACAAACAACAGTGACGTCATGGCTTTAAAAGATGAAATTCTGTTTGCCTGAATAAACCAAAAAGTGCTCAGGAAACTTTTGGCAGCTGGTGCTCATGCTACCATTGCTACTGTGTAACTGTTGTTGTTTAATATCAGAAGTCCCTTTGTGGTCAGGCATCCTCGTTAGTTACCATTAACTGAACAATTAATAACAGCTGGCCAAAGGGCAGTGGAAGTAGGAGCACAGGTAGGAATGTGGCATTTAAACAGCACGAAGTTTGGAGAGTGTTAGAGTTCTGTAATCACTGAGAGAGTGAACAAATGAACACCCTGCAGGCCTACAAGGGCAGGCACACTCGTGACGCATGCACTGCTGCAGCAGGCAGCACAGAGGCCAGCCTGCCGCCATGTTGTGGGCGCTATTTTGTGTGTGTGTGGGGGGGGGGGGATGCGCCCTGAGGGAAGGGCAGCAAGCAGCTGCCTCAGAGCGTGCTGAGTGCTTCCAGAAACTTCCACCAAGAATTACTCAGACGTTACAGGTAAGAACCGAGTTTCTGGCACTGCACAGCGAATGCCCTGTTGCTAGACAAAGCAGTAGCTCAACAGGTGCAGCTGGTAATGAGGCAGGTGGCCAGGAGGGCTGAAGCAGAGAGCTGGACTTTGGGCGGGGAGGCATTTTGGTGCACTCAGCTCACGGTGCTGAGGGACCCCCAGGGATCTGGGAGCAGCACCTCGGGGAGCCCCACACAGCCCCGCTGTGCTCGGATAGCCAACTCCTGCTTGAAGTGTTGCTGTTCTGTGGTATGGCCCAAAGGGAAGCTGAAGAGGCAGCTCAGAGCAAGGTCTTGAGGCAGGTGGCCGTGAGCGCACAGCTGCTGTGTGGGTGCCAGGGCTGATGGGCAGCACCTGGGCCTAGCCTCCCACCAAGTCCTGGTCGGGCAGCACCATCCCTCAGCAGAAGCTATATAGGGCAGTTTCTAGCAGGCAGCAACCCTCATTCTCTGGGGTAGCTCCTCAGGAGAGGAATAAGGTGCTTAGGTGAGTATTTTCTCTTAACATTTCTTACAGCTATGATTAGCTAGCGTTTCATCTAAATGGTAACAGTAATGTTTGTGTAAGTGTGGTCCCTGTTTTGCTGTTCCAGGCTCTTTGTTTTTATTCCTTTGTAGCATGAAGCTCTGTGCGCTTGGCTATGCACACTCATAGGCTGTGATGTGGAGACGAGATTTAGATCTGCTAATGGTATTTATATGGAAAAGTTTTAATGAATTATTGCCCTAATTGTAGCATCATGTTTCTTAACAAACATCTCTTGTGCACACTGTTGGTGTTGTAGACTGTTTCTTTTGGTACTATAGTATGCCCTGAGCTGGGCTAGAATATTCTTGCTATGGATTCTGAGAGGTGAGCCAGTGCCAGAGGGAGGAGCAATCTTAGTGCAGTTTTTGTTCTAGAAGATAAGTAACGTTGACTGTCTAATTGTGTATACAATTTGCCTTTCCTGGTACTAGGAAGACCTTTATTGGTCTGAGTGTAAATGTGATCACTTTACTCTTTTTCAGTTGTGTTTCAGAGGTAAGGAAACACATAACTTGCATTTGCATTTTACCAGTGCTCCCATGTGAGCCAACTAGCAGCTACTTTGGATTAGAAGAAAATAAGGGAGAAATTAAGTAAACTTTTTTTTTTTTTTATTGAGTTAGAACTTATCTTTATATTAAATCTTGTCTATGGAATTAGTAAAGTAAAGACTGAGAACATGGTCTGAGTGTTACTAGCAAATGTAAAATAAGATGAATTGTTTACTATGTAATAGTAATACTATGTATTACTATTGTTTACTAATTGTTTACTATGTATTCAAGAATATTAATCTTTATTGACAGAAGAATGTTGTCATAAAATGATTATACAACTTCAATAAACAAAAATAACGTATTAACAAAAATAGAAAATGAACTTTGATTCTGAGAACTGTACAAGCATTTACACTCTATAATCAAAATATGTGGTTGTGCTATGGGAGCAAATGAAAAATGATGTATGAGATGTGCATTATGTGGAATAAGTTATTTTGTAATGTCAAAGATTAAAACAGCTTTTTTGTGTCAAATTGGAGGCTCTACAATGCAGAGCTTGGAGAGCATTTCTGTTCATAGGAATCTACATCTTGTAATTAGCACTGAATCCAGTTGGGCAGTGATGACCTTAAATGTCTGACTGAAATACAAAACAAAATAAATTTTCTTGCAATTTGGGAAAAAATAAAAAAGAAAAAAGAAAAAAAAAGGAAGTGACTTTAGCACCGAGAAATGGATAGGAAACTGTTCTAAATAAAGAAGTTAATACAAACGAAAAAAGTCTACATCAGCTATGCAACTTGAATTTACTCTTCTATTTGTGAGAGAGAGGAAGGGCTGTGTTAATTCCATAGCTATTGCGTTGCCTTTCAATCAGGTACCATTTATAAACATAAGCATACAAAAGAAATGTTTAGCCAGGAATTTGAACAAATGTATCCAAACACAGAAACAACCTAAAACAAATAGTTATTACATAGTTTGCATTTTACTTGCTCTGAAGGAAAGCAGTAGAATCGGATTGCTTCAGAACATCTTAAGTGCATGCTAGCGAGTATGTATGAACTTCAAGTACCCACGTATTAACTGACTGACTGCATTTGGTTTTTAAGTTGCTTCTTTATAGCTTTTCTTGAAAGAGTTTCTGTAGCTTTATATCATTTTTCATCAGGAGAGCTTCTTGTGCACGGATGCATTTTTAACTTCTAAAAATTCATGAAATGGTTGTAGATAGAAGGAATACAGTAAGCTTGGGTGTTGTTTTTCGCATGAAGTATCCACTAAATGAAAAATTCTCATGGCACAATCATGGTTGATTAGCTGCTTGATTAGTTGTCTTTTAAAGGAACGTTAATATAAACATCTGGAGAAAACAGGTGGTGCCTCTCCTGAATGCATCTGCAAGAAGTGGAAGGCAGCACTGAATGGCTGCACTGCTTGAATCCAGGGACTCTGACTGCCCATTAGCGTGTTCCTGAGGCTGGTTCCAGCCTCTGATTTAATGGGTCTGTGTCCATTTCTGGTGCCTTAACTATTTAAAATGCCTCTCATGTTCCTGGTGCCATGGTAAGAACTCATATGGTTGAAACCTGAAAGGCCTGTTCCTAACGACTTTCTCAAGTGATAGCAGATTAGATTCTAAACAATTGGAAGTAGACACAGGGCTTAAAACGTGGATGGAAAAGCTCAGGGAAAATAAGAGACCCATGACTTTGTTCCCTTAGAGGAGATTACTAAAGTATCATGAAGCTGAGCATTGTATCATGGATGTCTTTGTGGTTATGCATTTACAGTGGACTTTAATTTGTGTGTATGCTGGTGATATGGGTGCAGACATAGGCTGCCTCACCACTTTCTTTGTTAAATAAATGTGCTAGTGTGTTTTTTGGGGGACTTTTTTTTTTTTTTTTTTTGAGGTGAGGAGGATGGGGGACAGGCATCCAACTTTGCCTTTCTGAACATACAGCTAACTGTGGAAGTTTAGGGCATATGTTTGTTTATTAATGCTGTATTTTGTGTATAAAGAAAGGCCATCAAAAAGTTCACTTCTGGCCTTTAGCTCAAAATTCTGATCTTTAATAAAGTTTGTCTCTGTGCCAAATATTTGCTCATAAAGATGTATGGGTTTGTGGGCAGCTTAGATATTCTGAGATTATACTTGTGAAAAGAGGCAGGTTTTAATGCTTTGTGTATTAATAGGCAAAAGTGCTGTCTGAGAATTTTACAATAGAAGAGTAGTTGTAGACAGACAGCAAGGCACCACTGGGGGAGCTGATTGCTCGTTATATTTATAGATAAGCATAGAAGTGATGTGTGAAAGATTGCTTGAAGGGGTGAAATTTCTTAGTATATGATATGAAATAGCAATCCTTGCTTCTAAGAGTAGTTGAGAATACAGCTTGAGAAATGCGATCCTGTCTGCAGCGACTGCTTAAAGATAACACATGAGAATTCTTTTTTTTTAAAGACTTTTTTTGGTAACAGCAGTTAGTTCAAGTGAGGACTTCCTTAATTAACACCTAACTCTGCATGCCTCAAGAGTGATAAGGAACTTGTGAGCTCTTGAATAAAAGTTCACAGGAATGTTGCATAACCTAATAGCTGGGATTGATAATCACCACCAATGCTTAACCTAATTAATACTTTGATTTATCTTGGAATCCCTAGTGGCCAATTCAGTAAGGAGCTGTCTCGCTACTTGGCTAGTTCAACCCACCATGTTATTTAGATTATACTTAAAAGTTGGATAATCAATATAATATCTGTTTTAACAGGGGTCACAGGGGTCATTTTCTGTGCTTGGGGAGCTCTGTCTTACCAAAGAGCAGTAATTTATTTTTTAAGAGGAAGCTTTATGAAGTATTAAATATGAGTTTGAGGCTTCAGACTTGAATTTGCATACTCTGTTGAACCTGAAGTTTATGATTAATTCAACTTGAAAATTCAGCTTTTTCTGAATCTTGCACAACATGAAGTTGATAAATTAAAAACAAAACAAAATGCTATCTGTATTTTCTTTTCAGCTTTGCTTTTGGTATGCATTTTCAGACATTTTTTTTGGTGAACTTATTTCAGGAATATTTATCCTCCAATGGCATCTTAAAATATATGCTTTAACAGTGTTATGTAAATACTCTGTTTCCCAAATTAGCATTCTGAATCCAGTGCTGACTTTATTCAGTAAATCCTTTTCAGATGGGTTTGAAGCTCTTACCACACTGTCTTTGTTAGGAGGTTTTACAGCCTGTATGTAGAACTTGGAAATTCTCCCCTGAATTAGCAGTGCTAACTTTGTCACCTCTCGCGGCTTGTAAGGTTACTGAAATAGCTAGTGAGCTCTGTTTGAGTGCTATTGGTGTTGTGATGGTCTGTGCAATGCTTTTCTGTTTGGAATGGGGAGATGGGGCAGCACTGTGAGTTAGGCCACTTAGCAGCGTTCTGTGCCAGGTTCAGTCGTGCGGCTGATGCCAGTGCAGGCATGCCTGCTTGCACCTGGGGCTGCCCTTACATCTCGGCAGTGAATAAAAGGCGCTCCAAGATTAAAATCTTGTTCTGTGTACATTTGGAGAACTTCACGGCTCCTGCAGTGAGATAATATGCAACAAGCACGTGTGATGAATTCTGCTTTGCAACCTGGCATCTAAAAATCTTTTGATTTTGTTAATTTTTGTGCACCTAAGTCTCAGAATGTTAAATGATTGCCTGCTTTTGCATTGTCCATGGCAGCATGAAGTGTTTTAGTTTGTCAAAGCAGTCATACCTAGAATCCCATGTTTGTTGACTATTTAATCTAAAAAAAGCAAGCTACTCAAGGAATTGCATTAACAAAGTTCCAAATTCCACTTTGTGTGTCTGCTCACATTTTGTGCTTTTTGTGTCTTTGACTGCTTTGTGCTTTTGTCATCTTCTGTACAGACTTCTATGTTCCCACACTCTACCATTTGAGGGTTTCCATACAAAAAACCGAACATTAAATCGGATATTCCGCATCAGGGAAAAAACATTTTGCAGAAGCACTGATAAAAGAAGTACTACTAATCTCATTTCAGTTTCTATTTTTAGAGGAAGTGTAACATCTCTGGAATGAGACTAAATAGGATATTTTCATCCTTACAATGGGAAGAAAGCAGAGCATCCTGCCATGCTTTCAGTGTCTGAGAAATTACCTGGGTGGAACAAAGCAAATAGTGGGTCCTCTGAGCTAGAAGAATGACTTATTTATCTGCAAATGATGCTTGTTAGTCTGTAATCGCTGCTCTATTACTTGGATTTTTCAATGGTGTCTGAGTTAGGAGTTAAAAGTGAGCATGTGATTTACGTAATTAAAATGTTCGTTTAAAAGCTAGTTGAACAAACTACTGGCAAGTCTTCCGTCTTGTGTTGATTACTGTGGTAGTTGAAATTATCTTGGAAAACGTTCCTCGATTTTTGTTTTTATTTTTTCCCCATCCTTTGTTA